CCCATGAAGCACAACTCTAGTTGATATTCTCATGAGTTTAAACATTTGGGAAAAGCAGCTTTCGTAAGAAATGTGATCCTCAACTTTCAGATCCATTAACACCTCTGATCATGACAGACAGTACGAAAGCGGCTCAGGCTATCATGGGTTTTCATGAGTTTTGTCAGCTAGGTATGCCATGATTGGGTACTTTGTTACTGACAACTTGAGAGCTAGATTTAACCTCCTACAACTGTTCAACTCTCCACACTGTCGCACGCTGTCAAAATATTTCCGAAATTGACGGACTGGGACAGGGCAAGTTCAGAATCTTATCGATTAATAACCATGCTACATTGCATCACAAAAGCCTGCCACTAAAAATTAGTAAGCGACGAGAACACTTAGAATTCCTGGGTTCTAATTCACTACTCTAAAGTCCTTCTTAGAAAACCTAAGTTCCAAAAGATTGAGACACTCTTCCAGTTATAGACCGTCAAAAGTGAGTAGGCCCGAGGTTATATCTCACCGTACACTTACTATCTTGCTTGTGCATGATCATTTGTGCAACACACTACTCAGATTGCTTTTCAAACTGGTACCGTTTGTCAGCTGTAAAGTGCATATTTAAAATTAGCGGTTGATTTTTAAAAGTAAGGTAGACAGATCTTCAGCTGTCCCATTCTAGCGAAAGCACTGACTAGCAGTACTTTCTGTTGAACAGTAAACATAGTATCCTGTAGGCGTTTCTCAGCAAATAAGATTGTGAGTACCTCGACTATCTCGATGATGGGAAAATATGCGAGAGATGATGTGCCGAATGGTTACCAATGTACCTAGCTAAGTATTTTTTTGATCTACGGACGTGCCTATGCATCTTCACTATTGCACTAGCAGTCTGGGAAGTTTACAGTTAATAATCTTTGCTGAACGTACATGACTGGTGTAACAAATACTCATCTATGCGAAACCTTGCATTGATTGAAAAACATGGGTGCGATAGCAACTTACCTCCCGCGGCTCTCGTCGTCGCTCATGTTGTGTCACAAATGTGAGTTGATCTAAACTGAAATGACAGAAGAAGTTCTGGTAATCGAATGTAAATCCAACCCCAAACTCAACAATTTCTAGAGCAGAATAAAACGCACCGAAGACGCGAACTAAAAGGCAAACGAATGAGCTGTTTTAAAGCGCCACCTGTGCAGTGCATCCCAAGTGACCTTGGGACTGTTTACCTCACGCCTGTCTGTTGCACATCACGGCTTTGAACAACAAAAGATTTTGACATCGTGGTGTAGGTAAGTGTACCGCGGGATTTTGTGGGCCAATCAGCTTTCTCAGTGGGAGAAATCCGTAGAACAGAACAGAACTGCACAAATTTCCATTCAAATGCTGTCGGTTCAATCGATTCGGTTGCACCCACAGTTATCGATCTTGGGAATTACGTTCCTGTTGCCTGCAGCCTGTTAGCTTTTTAGCCCGTCTAACTGCCTGGCTGTGACCAGTGGTTGCGAAAGATAGGTAACAGAACTACAACACATTGTTGTGCTGTGCACAAGGAACTACCGCACTATCGAGCGACTGCACTGATGTATGTATACAACCATACCGGTCAAAGTACATGCAGAAATCGTATGACAGAACAGTCCTGGTAACAGTGGCGACTGACTGTGTAGTCTTTGATGGACATCATATGAATGTGCGTATTGATAAATTTTGAACTGGCCTGTTCCAGTGAAACAAACTTCTGTCTAACAACATTTCTGATTGTCGAGTTCTTATGGTCAGAAGAAAACAAGTGCTTATTAATAGAAAATCTTACTCCATGGGTCATGAAGCTATGCAGTGTAAAATCTCAAATCTGAAGAACATTCACTAAGAGGTGGAACAGTTGGTAATTTTGAGACATTAGACTTTAACGACACCGGGTTTTACTGGAATTTTGTCGCCTGGGACATCCACTTTTCTATTTTCAGGAGGAAAATGTGGAGGGACGGTCATCCTTCTGATCAAACCTTGAGAATTCATGAAAGATAAAGATAGCAGACAAATTATTGTTTGCCATAAATGGTGTCACATCCAGTACTGTCAACAAAACGTTTCTCCCGGTGAAGCACTCCGAAAGTGGGCAATCACTCAATGAGATTTTCAAGGGTTAACCTGTGGTTTAGCTAGCGTCACTTATCTAAAAGTGTACTCAAATTATTACTCCGCCGGGTGAGCCCAGAACACCATATCTGCTTTTCTATCAAGCGAAGAATACACCATGGCTGTCAGCTTATTTCACCTGGCGCATCCCTCAACGTATCATCAAGTCTTACTGACACAGGTTGAACAGAATCTACCTAAATACGGTAGTTGTAAACAAACCTAGATTTTTGTTACCACTGGACTAGCAAGTGCATTTGGAGTAAGGAAGACTCTGATGACTAACGAATAGCTCTTCAAAGTTTTCAAGCATGCGGAGTCTTTATGCCTAGATTGGCTTCTCTTATTGGTCTTAGTTTCTGACCCATTCAAAGTATACCCTCAAAATGTGAGTAATGCACGAATAATCAATACTGCTACTTGAGGAGTGGAAAAAATCCAAAAATTCATGGTTGTGTCAGTCAAATTCACTGGTCGTTAGTCTCTTCGCTGAGTTGGGCAAATTGATTGCAAACGTTTCATCACCAACCGAGGTGACGCCATCAGTGCGTCGTGGTGGAGCGTAGCGATGGGTCGGTTGTTTTGCCAAAATTTTCCTCTAAAGCAGGTAACTTGTCAAAGAAAAAACCATCCGGCCTATTGATTCTGTCACATCATCAACTAACTGTCTCGTAGGCAGTTGAAGGCAGCTGTGACTTTTATTGCTGGCATTTTATAAAACTTCAGGCATTCATGCAGAATTTTTCCGATTTTTGTGGTCCCATAGCATCAAAAAAGTACAAGACGAATATTGAGTTTTTCATTTCTCCCCTAGCTATCTCGTAAAAAACCAACTGTAACTGAGGAAATCTATGTAGGTGTAGAGGGTGACTATTTGTACGCAACAAAGTTGGTCGATATATCATTCAATCTCCTTCTACAGTAGAGGGCAGTGTGAGATTAGACGAGCGCTTAAGGTAAAGTTTCTCAAATCGGTTCTTAATGTTTTTCGTTAGATTTTATGTTTTCTCTCGCGTTTCTATTTCTGAAATGGCATGTGCACAGGTTAGCAAGGTGGGAGCCGACGGCAGATTTTTGGAGGAAACCTGTCATGCTCCACCGAGTCACCGGACTGATACTAACGATCATATTAACTGTTACACGGGTTTGTTCTATGCGCTTTGTGGACAACCTGGTTTAGGTAAGAACTAGTCGTTTCTGTTCTGCAGTCGCTACAGTGTCCTCATGTGGACTCGTCTTACTAAATCAGGATCTATTGCGAAGATTTATAGTATCTGGATGCTTCTGACTCACCTTGAATTGTACCGAAAATTACTACGCATACGATGGGCGCAGGCACGGAAGTTGCTTATGAACTAAACCAAGAGGCAAATGATACTTTACATGGTCACTGGACAAGGCATTTATTATGAGCTAACGTCGAAATACCATGACAAATCTATTAATCAAACTAAGTGGACTGAAGCGTGACCTGAGGTGCATTCACGATTATGGTCTTTACGTGATGCGCGGCCGTAAGTAACACAATGCACCTGTCCGTCAAAAATAGCACCTGAAGTTATCAAGTCTGGGCGGTTTGGCGAAGCAGTTAAGGATCGATTCTGGAATGATTTCAGTAGCAAACGTGACGTATATAAGACTGTTTTGGATATTTCCGGCAATACATCCATCCAAAAACTAGCTTGCTTGAAGTTCTTTTAAAATTATGTTTAGAGGTGAGCACAGCAAGAAGGTGAGTACTGTTAGCTTTACCATGAATGAAATTCACTCATTTCTGTGAATAGTTTTACCACATTAAATCAAAACGCTCGTCTTAGGAGAATAGTAATACATAGTCTGAATGAATGGTCCTTTGCCCTGATGACCAAGACGCTGACTCCAGGGTGCTTAAGGCGATTTTGCATAGAAACTTCTCAGTTCAAATTTCCTCTCATTTGAGGAGTTGCTATATTAAAGTGTGATTCTCAACTCTCATACAGAACCCTGCCCTAAATTTTACTTTGTTTGATTTACCTCAGTAAATAATTTACCTAGAAAAAGCCTCTGATCAGTTTTACCATGGTACTCTAAGTTTATACAGCTTCTATTCTTGCCAGTTCGATAATCTGAGAAGTAATTTAGGCTTCATGACAATCGGCGGGCAACGGCCACATCTGTTTGTGTCAGGAAACAGCCAACAATCTTCAACTTGTCTAGAATATCACCAAATTTATGTTATTATCTTGACTAAAAACTGCATCTTTTGCGTTACAAATCAATTTTCGCCTACGAGTAACCCACTATCACTAACTTTCGCACACATTCTGGGAACATGCTGCTGAAATCGGGTCGAAAACCATGGCTGGGGAAGACAGTGATTTACAAGGAGTTGCATGCATCACACTTCAGAAATCCATCCCAAACTTCGCACACAAACACAGGCAACATAAACGTCGAATAGCGCAGACACACGGTAACTAGGTGTAGGTGCTACAAGCAAGCCACGCATTGCGAATTGTTCAGTGAACCAACGACACAGTGTGTGGGAGATGTCGAATAAAATCAGTCTTACTAGCATCAACAGATCACAGACGGAAGGACTGAATTTGCACCGACGCACTTCGTGGAATTCTTCTTAACATAATACTTGGCTCCTAACATGTTGTTGGGTAGTGGCACAGCGAGCTGCCGACAGAAAGGATGGGCTGTGAAAAAACTTCGATTTAACGATTTAATGAATGGGAAAGTGGTAGGGAGAGTGAAGTTTTTTCATTGATTGGTAGCTGAAAGGCCTCGAAAGAATGTATAGCTTAGCTTCATACCGAATGTTTATTGCAAACAGAGTGAAATAATGATCTCGGTTCTCACTTTAGGGATTACTTTTCCACCCAGTCTTGAATAGTTAGTGCGAATTTCTCTCCAGAAACTTGATAATTAAAAAGATATTGAATAAAACGAGAATCAATAAAGCAAAAAGCCGAGTAATCAGCCTCCTCAGATGCAAGTGTCCAACGGATTAAATTGAACGGATTACATGCTTTTGATCACTTTGAACCACTGAAAGGAACAATCTCAGTAGCAATCTCCCGATCAGGGGAACATCTTAAGGACATTTCCAAATAACTCTTGGACAAAGGCAATTCTCCATACGCGTTTGGCCGATACAAAGCACATCGCCTAGATTCTGCATTGGAGTAAGGAATACCTTTTCCCATCCCGGCAGTCTAGATGCGATTTTTAAGCGGAGGGTGGAAATATTAGTAGTTCGTGAACCGAATGATTCTGGTTTCTGAAGAGCTTGCAGGTCTGTGATTGATGTAAACGGGCACAACCTGGTGAATATGTATAACAGTAATCAGGGCTCTGCCCCGTGGGCCACTACAGTCCGGTGACTTTTACACCAGACAGGACAGTAAGCACGAAGACGAACTCATGTTCCAATGACGGCATCAATGTGTTCCTCCGCACCGTTTCATCCTGCCCTTCAGCTTTGTGTCTGTAGTCAGTAATATATCTGGGGGTGTTTTAACGAATGATGCTGTGTATAATTCGAAGCAAAATTTATGGTGTGGGCGATTTAATTCCAGAGGAAATCGTCCACTTACGGAATGAGTTAGCATATGAGGTTTACTTGTGCCAAATCCTATGAAGTGATGTTAAACGAACGAATGTGGGTCAATATTTTGAGGGGGACCACTATGCTTTTTCCTCCCAGGAATTTAATCAGTCAATTTGAAGGTCACAATGTATTTTCTCTCCTGTTATAGGGGAGTTATCTCATAGAATGAGGATTTGTATGGATGAAATATCCTCTTTCCAAAATCGTCTTCTTTATGAAAGACTTTTTATTTGAGAGTTCATTGCGGGTGGAATACTCTGCTCTTGAAAGTAAACTTGCGTTGTTTTGACATAAAACGTAAACAGGGACTTTCCGCTGAATCAACTGCTGCAAAAAGGTTTTTGAAACTTCATCCATATTCTTCATGCTTTGCATGTTGAATGTGCCAATCAGTGTCAGAAAACTAGGTTAAACCGTTCACTGAGCTTGCAACGTTTTCTTCTCTGTTTCGCAAATTGCTGCTG